AAGAAGAAGAAGAAGAAGAAGAAGAAGAAGAAGAAGAAGAAGAAGAAGAACAACAACAACAACAACAACAACAACAACAACAACAATAACAACAACAACAACAACAACAACAAGTTAGAACAAGAACAAGAACAAGAACAAGAACAACAACAACAACAAAAACAACAATAATAACAACAATGACGACAACAAAGACTACAATTATAATACATGTACTTACAAGAAAAATAAACCTATGTTATGTCCTAGAAAACTAAGAGTCCTCGCGAAGGCAAACACAACTTCACAAACAAATTTAGTGTAACTCCCTTTACCAGCATGTGTACAATATAATTTACAACTTCGGTTCCCGTGGACAACCAACGTTGTCCTATGTTAGGTGCACGCCGATATCGTGCACATATTATTCAGGCTCTGCCGATTTACAAAGTACATCTCTCTACATGTAGATAAGCCATTAACTGGGTAAATCAAGGAATATAAGGTTAAGAATATTTCCCATGAATTCAAATTTTCTTTCTTTTTTTCTTTTTCTTTTTTGGTTGTGTTGGGGTTTTGTTTGTTTGTTTGTTTTTGTTTGCTTGTCTGCTTGTTTGTTTTGTTTTTGCTTTGTTTTTAAAAAAAAAGTAATTTAGGCCCCCATTGACACAATTTACATCATGCAGGAGGCAGACTTCCGACCCTGTCATGGCCAACCCGGGCTACGAGGGATACAACCTTCCAGCAGAAAGACCATGATACTTGATAAAAAAAAATATTCCCACACGGGAATCGAGCTCAGGTCTCATGAGTGGGCCAGCGAGGCGCTGAACTGCTGCACCACTAACGGAGCCTGGACTTGAACTCAAAACCTTTTAGTTACAGTTCCGACACCACACCGCTGGACCAGGACACGTATAACCGGCACATTTTGGCTAAAACGTGAAGCATTCTTGTTCTCACAATCTAATATCTATACATATACATTGGACATTATATATATATATATATAAGTTTGTACGTACACACACGCACATACACATACACACACACACACACACACACACACACACACTCACACCACACACACACACACACACACACACACACACACACACACACACACACACACACACACACACACACACACACACATACACACACACACACATGCATACATACATAAAGTCCATCCATCCACACATCCATCCATACATGTACATACATACATTTTATATAATATTTAATTTTTTATATATATATCTATATATATATATATATATATATATATATATGTATGTGTGTGTGATATACATTAGGCCTATATTATATATTACGCAGGCTTTCAACATGCTGCTGGATCAGAAACAGGCGAACAGTTTCAAGACGTCCCCCAAACAAATATTTGATGAGGATGCAGACAGTTGTGGCGCGAGCTCTATGGCGTCTACAATGATATCAGCCAAGAAACTTTTTGTTGATTTACCAGACAGGTAAAAGTTCACACTTATAATAATAATAATAATAATAATAATAATAATAATAATAATAATAATAATAATAATAATAATAATAATGATGATGATGATGATGATGATGATGATGATGATGATTTTTTATATTGCAAAATATGATTAAATTTGAATTTCCCCCAGAAATTATGCTCTTGAAAGTCAAGATGTGCCCGCCCAGTTAAATAGGTCTGGCCCGGGGGGGGGGGGGGGAGAAGAAGAAGAAGAAGAAGAAGGAGAAGAAGAAGAAGAAGAAGAAGAAGAAGAAGAAGAAGAAGAAGAAGAAGAAGAAGAAGAAGAAGAAGAAGAAGAAGAAGAAGAAGAAGAAGAAGAAGAAGAAGGAGAAGAAGAAAAAGAAGAAGGAGAAGAAGAAGAAGAAGAAGAAGAAGAAGAAGAAGAAGAAGAAGAAGAAGAAGAAGAAGAAGAGAAGAAGAAGAAGTGAAGAAGAAGAAGAAGAAGAACGAAGAAGATTATTATAATTATTATTGTTATTACATGGTATAAGATTGCATTATTATGGGCTCTATCGCATACGAGTACGAGAAAAACTC